GTCTTCCGAGTGAATTTCCTTTTGAAGTAATAAAGTTAAACTTATAAAATACAGTGTAAGAAACCAGATGGTCTGATTTAATGATTCATTTATGTTGAAGTGCTGCATGCACAACGTATAAATTCAGAGGCGGAGAACCTGAGAGTTTGTGTTTACATTAATTTCTTGTTTACTACGCCGGACCCCTAATGGCTTATAAACTGAAACTTCCTGAGTTGAGTCATCAGAGTGGAAGAGCTCAGCAGCAACAGACAGTTGTCACGCTGTGTTAGGTAATGTTTTTATACCTCCAATTACTTAACAGTAGGGGAGGAAGAGGCTGATGAAGTAGTGTGTGTGTGTACAATGTCATCTGTCTCACTGGAGATACTTAACTTGTTTGATCTAACAGAGCTGTCTGATCAATTATCACATCATCAGCATCTCCTGACATCCAATATCTATTCTGTTCTATTTCCATGATATTTTTCTGTTTTTGATGTCGTTTTAGTGTTTGTGACAAAGTGTTTCTTTTGTTGTGTTTGATGTAAGGTTTCACTCTGAACTTTTTTTTATCAGTTTATGTAAAGGAACTTAGAAACGCTGTCATTTTCTCTTATGGCTCTGGCGTCTCAGTCCAGTATTTTATTATTTTCACCCCCTCATTCTTTTCTTCTCCTCTCTTAAATGGAACAATATGGTCTTTGAAATCCAGTTGTTTATTATATGGGCAAACTGAGAGTGGCCAAGATATTTTACTGATCTCCAGCTATTTTAAAGCCTCTGAAAAAAATTTTCTCTCAAGGGGCGTAGGTTTGGTTTCAAAATTAAATTTGTTAATGTGCTAAAAAATAAAGTTTAGTTTGCATGATAGAGATACTTTATGATAGACCAAGTGTGTTTTGCATCTTCACTGATTTGATTGATGCTCAATTTTAGCGTCTTTTTAGGAAAATATTCACTGTTAAAAATAATAGGACTAAATTATTTGTTTACATGAAATAATCCAAGGTGGCAATACTCATTTCAGCCCTGGGTGGCGTCTACTGTCTTCCACTCAGGCTGCATACAGCCCCAACAACCTCAATAAGGTAGGCAGACTGATTTAAATGAAAAGCCAAAACCCAGGGCAAAAAAGTCCACAAAGCCCTTGCTGCACCACTTGGTACTACTCGATAAGCTTATTGCTGTGAGCGCACACTGCATTTTTATCAACTCCCCTCTTGCCTCATGTGGATTTTGGCAGTTAGATAGTAAGGGTACAATGCTTAGAGGTTTTAGTAAGAAAATTAACCTGAAGCTCCACCCACTTCAATTTCAACTAGTGAGGAGAGCACACAAAAAAAATGCATGAAGAAATACAAATCCTCCATGTGAAATAACCAGAACTGCCATAACTTTGGCAGAAAATAGTGTGATTATTTAGGACACCATCACTCACACTAAGAAGGCCTTAAAATATGACCAAGCTCAAACCATTGGATCATTCAGTGTGTTGCAGAAGATTTAGCATACTGTTGACGGACTGTAAAGGCCTGTGAATTGTTATCAGAAAGTGTAACACTAGACTATGGATAAAATTCACAATCATAATGAAACAAAACAGGTTCACCTTAATGGTATTCTATAAAGAACCAGTGTGGTTCTAATAATTAATTATATAATATATGACCAGTCATACAGGATTGATGATATGTCCAAATAACCCATCATCTTTAATTAAATAAAAATCCATTTTCAGTAGATCAGGAAATCACACTCTAATACAGTCCAGAGATTCAGACAGCTAATGTCCGTCCTTGATAAATATTTTAATAACTTATTTATTTTTCAAAGGTTTAAAATGGGAAGAGAGAGGGGGCTGGAAAAGAGCAAAAATGGTGCACCTATTCTCCTTTTCAGTGATGTTTGCTTATATGTTAGTTGATTGTGGTGGAGGAGAACGTGTAAAAGACATGCCCCCCAAAAGCCCCCAATCAACACCAGCAGTTTTATCTCATTGGTCGTCGGCCATGAATGTGAACATCGAACAGAGATATCTGCTGTAATGTGATAAGATTAGACCTTGAAAAAAGTCTCCATGCAAGTCCCCATGCAATACATACCTTTCAGAGTGTTCTGAATGCGCTGAAAGGAACCAATTTCTTTCTTTTTCTTCCTTTCATTTTTTCTGCCAGCTTTTTTATCCCCTTCTTGTGTGCTTGTTTTTTGTTTTGTCTTTTGCTTTGCTTTTGTGCTTCCCCTTTCCCCAAAATGAAGCCAGGAGTTTGACGAGATGGAGAGTGAAATGAGTAAATGAGTCATTAAAGATTAATCTGTCATGTCCCCATCGTGCTTAATTGCATTGCTGGGTTTATTGACAGCAGCCATCAGCCTATGACATTAAATTAAATGTTGAGGGAGACTCAGATAGAGACAGACTGTGAGATGGGAGTTTGTGACTATGAGGCTGTTATACAAGATTATGGCTTTTGGATATCTGAACATAGCCCTTGGCACAAATTGTTATAGAAGCAAGTGGAATGAGATTTTTGCAAAGTGGGGAGTCATTAGTGGACAATAACTCGACATTATTTAATCTAATTGTGATGGAGTTAAGTTACCCTCTACTGGGAGTCTTCAGATCACATATTGGCCTTTTTGTGCCTCTTCATTCAAGCCTCTAATAATAATGATCAATTTGTCAAACAAGGCCCAGTCAGTGTCCCATCATGATGTGGCATTTAACACTGAACTTGACAGTTTTTGACAGTTTTGCATGTTGATGGATGGTAGATTCTAATGAAAAACTAAAGCAAGATCATATTCTTTAATTTTGACATCTTATGAAGTGATTTTATTTATATGATATCAACAAAGTACTTGCACAGCATGATGCCAAGGATCAAAAACTGTTGACTGAGAAGGAACGAAATAATCCTGCACAGTCTGTCACTTGTGCTCAGTTTATAACAAATAACATTTCAGTCCTCAGACCTTTAAAATTCAGATCAAAATGGTGTTTTTAAAATAAGCACAAGTGACCAACAATGTGCGGGATTCATTGGTCTCTGCTGATGACCGGTCACTCATGTAGTTTTATTTTTAAGAACATCTGGGCCCCGTAGTTATTATGAAACATTACCTACACAGGAGTAAATGGTGTTTTTGTTGGAGACTATTTTCAGCCGGGCATTAATACACATTTGAAGCTCTAGTGAGTATTTATGGCAGTTCCCAGGTTCAGCGTAATCGAGAAACATGTCAGTGCAGTGGTGTGACTCAGTTTTTAAAAAACAATAGAGCTCTGTGGCACAGAGGAATAAAATATATATCAGGCTTATAGAATATAGAAAAGCTTTATCCTTTAAACCGGATGAGATTCTATAAACAACAAAAACTTAAACTGAAATTTTAAGGATTACAAGTTAAAAGCCTTAATAATTTACCAAGATTTTGAAGTAGTGAGTTATTTAATCCTTATAGGTTGAGTGTTGTGTTAAAACTACGCATTGTTCACTCGCACCCTGTGGAGACAATCACTTGTTCATTTTCACACTTTCAAATCATGACTCCCCTGTATGTAAGCCAAGATCTTTTGTTTCATTGTGGAGCTCAGAAGAAAAGAGCAGCTCTGCAGGGGGTCATGAGTAATTTTGATAGTTGGTCATTGTTTACATGGATTGCATTTTAGCAGCGAGCTTTGCATTAGTCACAAACACTGCAACCTTTAGTAACAAGCAGAATTGCCACTATCCTGTTACAAATTAAAGGTCTAAGAGATGTCATAGCACATGTACTTTTGTTCTATTCAAGCCTTTTTAAGTGGCCCTTGAGTAATAATGTGAAGTTGTTGTTGGGTCTCTTATAATAATATTACGAAGAGTACAGTCTAGACAGTACAGTCTGCTCTATATGAAAAGTGCAGTGAGATAACTTTGTTATGAATTGGCACTATAGAAATAAAATTGAATTGAATAAAATTGAAAGTGCATATTATAATTAAAATGGTAACCATAAAGCGCATTCATGTTAACAGCAAGCGTGACCTCGTCAACACTTGTATTTATATATTACAATTCACTGTTGGACATTGAAAGATAATGAATGTTCCCATTCATTGTCAGTTTATCAGCATTTAACAGCCTTATTTGACATATTTTAAATGAATTATTTTATATAACTATGGGTCCAGTCTGTGCTGTCTATGAATCTAACACATTTCAAACACACATGAAGAAACAACATTTAATCTTAATTAAACAATGGGTTTCCAAATTTTAGTTCCAGTTTATTTGTTATACTGGTTTTCCAGTATATAATGAATGTACACCCAGCCACACTCACTGCAATCAATGTTCAAACCTTTTCAGAAAGGTTGATTTAACTCTGTTACTGTAACTTGTGATGCTATTGAATTGCATGGATTATGTTGAAAGTGGCCTTTAAAATGTTGTCCACGAACAATTACATATATATAGCATGTTACATAAACTAAAATACGGTACATTTACCAAGAAACCAAAACTCTTTCATGAAGCCTCACTGGTAACGACAATTCAATACACATTGTGTGTGCGATGTCACAAAAACAGATTGCCTTATAGCACGAAGAAACGGCTTTTATTCACATAGCTGTGTTCAATATCCATTGTCTCCTCTGAATAGCTTCAGCTCACCTTGCAGCAGTGTTACCTCATTAAAATGGGGGAAAAAGGTCTGATAAATTGCCAGAGCATTTAAAGACAAAATGTAAGAATAACCCTTTCAGTCTATTCTGAATGTTATCACGCACAATATCTCATAATTCATTCACCAGAGCTGTACACCGATGAAACTCTGGTCAACCTCAGCTCTGTGAATGAAATTGTACGAGTTTTCTGCTGTTTCTATTATCAAAGACCAATAATAAACAAGAAACTGATTGCTTACAACATGATTATATATAGTACACACCCATTTTTACATACAGACCTCAGCTTTTAATTAACGTGTGAAAATGAACGTCACGGATATATTTTTTTCTTCGAACCCCTTCCTAGGAGCGTGAGCTGTTGGGCCGGATCACTGAGCTGCAGGAGGAGGTCTCCAGGAGGAAGAACCACATCGCTCAGCTGGACCACCAGATCCACACACTCAATGAGAATATCAGCACTCTGACTAAAGAGCTGGAGCTGAAGGGCAAGGAGGTGCTGAAGATCCGCAGCGAAGCCAATCAGCAGATCAGGTATGGCTCAGCGCTCAGAGCAGAACACGATTCAGAACAATACTGAAATGAAACCTTTGGTTCAAACTTCTGTTCATAGCCAATGAAAAGATTTGGACGCTTCCCGGAGCTCTGCTGATTTGATTTCATGTCCAATAACTCGACAAGCACTTTTTCCCCCATTCATATTATAAAGTGGTTTCCTTTATGGGGCAGACTGTCCCACTTCACACACATTTAACAGAGACTAGATAGCAATGCATTCGTTTTGTTTTATATTCTGCAAGTGTAAGTTATTGCAATTGAAAGCGCAGATTGATCTGAATATCTATGGTGCGTTCATGTGCCATCGTGTATATTAGAAAAGTAACGTCTTACTCTTCAAAGCCTTTTAAAAGCCTGTAGCTACCAAACAGTGAGTTTGTCTCTTATTTCTGCGTGCCAGATTTAGTTTATGTCTGTGTCTGCAAAATTCATGGTCACACATTTGGACTTTGTATCTTCATCTCACACACATCTATACAAGAAGTATCAACGCCGTGTGTTCACCGTGCACTTTATCTTAATACACTGTAACCTGGCAACCAAACTACTGAATATTTTTCTCATGAATTCAGATCGGTGGTCCTTGAGTTCCTTATTTTTAATCTTCTTTGCCTCCATTTTTGTCAATAAGCACTAATGATTAGTTCCCTTACCAGACCAATAGCAAGGTCGATGTGATGTCATTTTCTGTAAAGTTTGGGCTGATAAAGGCTGACTATAAGTTTGAAGAAGTTGTCTTCTCCTTTCCCTCTTCTTTACTCTCAATGTAGCTATTACCAATTTTTTTGTTCTTCACATGCTGTCCCCTGTTACACACATTGTTACTGACGGATACAGCCGACATCACACACACAGATGCGCGCACTCAGCCCTGCCTGCTCTGGGTGGCCCCTGTCATCAGCACATGCTGCTGAATTTGACTTCTCTTGTTATGTTCAGATGACGATAGTTTCTGCAATCCTGCTCTGCTCCGGTCCTGACGAAAACACACCGAGATAAAAGAGGGAGAAAGAAAAGCACAAACGGGGCGAATCACTCTCTCTCTCTCACTGTCGTTGTCTGCCTCTCTCTCTCTCTCTCTTTCGACCAGTGTCAGGAGCCCATTGATTAAGAGATGTGAAGGTTATTTAGGGTAAAAGCAAAATGGAATCTATAATCTTGTTGTTCCCTGCGGCATGTTATGAATTTTTCAAAGCGCTGTATGGCTAATATGGTCCAGCTACTCATTAGAATCAGTCTGTAGCCATTGATTTATGTGTGTGCATTTGAAGGTTTTCCTGCATGCGTGTATGTTTGATGACTGCTCCCACTGGTGCTTTATTCCGCTATCGTTAACTCGCGAGCTGCTAGCCCTGTATATGCGTCCTCTCTCTCTGCTGCCAGGCCCATGCGCAGCACATTTCTCCTTCTATTACGTAACTCCCCGTCTGAATCCTGGTCACAGGGATAAAATAGGCTGATAAATAAATAAAGAGGAAGCAGAGAGAGAGATAAGATGTGCGCCCCTCGGGGAGAGTTGGCCCAGTCAGAGCGAGAGGAAGACAGACATCCACGTTCTCCTCCATCCTCCCTCACATCCCTTTCATCAACCTTTTTCTCCTCCTCATTTAATTATCATCATCTTCTATTCCTGTTTTCCATCATCTTACTCTTTCTTTAGCTCCTTTCCTCCCGACGCAAAACGTTTCACATTTGCAAATTGAACATTTAGTTAATACACTCTTGCATATTATGTGTACATCAAGTCATATTTATGTCATATTTTGCACTTAAGTCATTCCACATTATGTTTTGGTTATTTTGCATAAACTCAAAAGTCATTTTTTGATCATAATTACATTCATAGTGTGTTTCCATGCAGTTATGTTCTAGGAATTCTTTCAGTGCATCTCTGTCTCCGTTTTCTAATCTCACCAACGTTTCCCCCGTGAAACAATCCATTATGTTCGCTTCTCCTGAGAGAGATGGACAGAGAAGGAGAGTCTGGAGGTCCTGATTAAGTCTTAAAGGGAAATGTAAACCATTCAGAAATAAATAAATAAAATGTGTGTTATTCCTGAGCCACCAAGGATATTTTGGTCAGTGAGGTTTGCTTTACTCTGTCCTGGAGCTTGAATTGTGACATGGCTTAATTTAAACATCTACATGAATTGGAAAGATTTTTGTTTTGGTTAGTGTTTTAGCTATAAAATCATTTCATAGTGTGCAGTATAAAATATGCTACAAATATCCTTATGTACAAAAACAACAAGATACAGGTAAAGCCTTTGCTCAAAGCGTCAGTGGTTGAAAGTAACTAACTACATTTTCTCAAATACTTGTAGTTTAGTTGAGTATTTCTATTTGATGCTACTTTACACTTTACTAAATTTCAGAAGGAAATATTTACTCATATTTTTACTAGTTTAAACTTAAAAAATATTTAAATTAAATATAAACATAACACATTGTTGCTAACATTAACATTATATAACTATTTAAAATTAGGTTCACATTGACCAGCTACAACATTAAATGCTGTGCACATGTTCAGTAATAATAATCCAATATAAACATATAATAATACAACACTAAAAATGGTAATTTTGCTACCTAATTAGTACATTTACTTTTGATATTTAGTCAATTTGGCTGATTCTGTATTTTACTTAAGCAGATATTAAATGCAGGACTTACTTAATATTTTATTTTTATTTTCTGTTGCTACCTTTTCCTCCGTAAGTGATCTGAATACTTATTCCACCACCGCAAAGTGTTGACTTTGTTATGTTCTGATCGCTTATTATCGGCCACTTATGAAGATAAGTTGTGTTCAAATCACCATCAGTGTTTTGGTAGATTTTTACAGCCTTTTTATCTGTGTGGTTAGGTCTGTTTTACCAGAATCATGTTTGAGGTGTTAACGAACACCTGTCATCCGATCATGAACGAGTGTCTATAGCTTCAGTCTCCTCTCAGTCACTCACCTGTCCATTCTCTCTCCTCAGGGCTCACGAACAAGAGTTGACGAAGAGGCATGAAAGGGAGCTTGCCGAAATGAACGCCGTCCACAGCAGGGAGACGCAGAACATGCTGTCAGACTTTAACAAAGCCCAGGAAGTGCTCAAAGACAAGATCTCCGCCCTTCAGATACTGTATGTATACACTGCAAAGACTCCGTGTGCTTGTGTGGTCTTCAAACAGCTATGCAGCAGTTGAGGTCTATGGTCCAGAAGAATACCACTGATCTAATTCTTAACCCATGGTTGCCATGTGTGCAGATCAACCTATTTTTGTCCATACAATGAACTATAGAATCACAGTATAATACAGACAATAACGGCATATCTAAACACACATAAAGGTTCAGACGCATCCATGCACACTATTTTAATTTTCATTTGCATCAGGTGAAGTAGAGTATAAATAGGAGGCAGCTGTGATGAATTATTTTCTTCTCAGCTAATCCTATTCCTTGTGTCATACGTTATAAACAGCTGCACCGAGCATGACGGTGCACGACGAAACTGGCTCACCGTGAAAGGCTGCACCAAGAGAGATTTACCGTTGAATCCCAAAGCTGTACCTGAACCGCATTCTTCTGGAGACAAAGCATTCCATTTTGGAAACAAAGAAACCCCACAAAAAAAGATAAAATTACACCCTGAAATCAAAGATTAAAGAAAGAGAAACACAAATGCCAGCATTGTCTAGTGCTACTGATCCATATGCATGTGGCTTAATGTGCCTTTATGCACGCTTTCACACATGGCTCTGTGACTCTCTGAGTCTTTGAGCTAAAAATCTTCTCTGACAAGTTGGTGTTTTTCAGACAACTGATTCCAACTTAATGAAAGATTGGTATCAAAAGTTTTCAGTTTATGAGTGAAAGTTTAATAACCTGGATTTCTGTTTGCTTAGGCAGCTACTGTATGCACTCCTGATGTGCGTCAACATGGCTGCGTCACTTAAACTGTCAACATTTGTACAGTCTGTCTGAAAAGTTGGTCCTTATATGCTGTGAGCAGAGCCTGATGTCTTCATCTGAACTTTGTTGTGATTTGTTCATCTGTTGAATCCAAACGGAGCCATCGTATTGGAGGGGGGCAAAAACCGGAAGCCCACTCTACATGTGGCGCCTGACAGCTTTGTTGAGACCAAAATGCTGCAAAGTGCTGCTCGAAGGTTAAGACTTGGTTTTAGGGTCAGGGTTAGGATAAGGATTAAGGTTTGCCCTGTAGCTGGGATGGTTAATGTTAGGGTAAAGAGCTCGGGAATAAATTATGCCGATGAAGGGTCCCCACAGAGATAGTGCCGTGAGTCTGTGTGTGTGTCTATCAGTGCCTGGACAGTGGAGGGTCTGGTGGTTACTGAGACTGGGTTCAGACAATCTAGTTAGTGGAAGGAATTTTTTTTTATTGCTGAAGATGAAAAGGTAGATTAATGTTAGCGATGACACACATTGAGGGAAATTAACCAAACCAAACCTCAAGAGAAAGTTTTAGAGACCAACAAACAGAGGACAGCAGATACAAACAGAGATACAGAAGGAACAGCCACATGTTAAACTCCTTTCTTCACATGCTGCAGTGTGAGTGAGTGAGTGTTGGAGAGAGTCAGGAAATAAACAGCGAGCTAGCGTCCTCTTCAGAGCTGACCTCCTTTCAGACGGACTCAGCTGAGAGCAAAGCGCCACCTGCTGAGAGGCTGTTCATCCAAATACAGCACGTTCGTGAGGCAAATGCACATTTGTTGGCCGTTATTACATCTACAAATAAAATGCCACGTTAAGACAATTTGTTCCTGTACACACAGTGATACACAGGATCAATAGTTAAAGAGGATATCACGTACTATACGAGGACGATTGGACAGAAAAATAAAATGAAAATGTCTAGAATCTATAGGCTTATACAGCAGAGCTTATCCTAAATAAGCAATATAAAAATATATAATGTTGCTATAAGTTTTACTAATTAGTCAAGTTTTTACTTACCAAAGACACATACTAGCTTTTTCTGGAGATTTAAGAGATGATAGAGTTTGTTCACTTATCGTGGAGATGAATTATGGAGCCAGGACAGTGACTTTTGGCATTGAAAATTAAATTTGGCAATGAAAACAAAACCTGAACTGAAAAAGGAATAATTGGCATTGAAACAAGTATTGGCACTATAACAGACATTTAAAAAAAAACAAGCTTCCAATAAAGAATGAATATAACACACTTTTTTACAATGCAATCTTATATAATTTATTAATTATTTCTTTCTTTTTTCTTCATGTTACTCTTTTTTACACTTTCTTTTCAGTGACAAGTAAGTGGTTTTCAGTTTCACTTCACTGTCACCGTTTCTTGTTGGTACGGCTTATACTATGAACAGCACAATATAATACCTGAACAACAAGTTGATGGACCTTTTGAAAAAACATCTAAATACTTATCAGTATACCCCCAATAAAAATAAAGTGGAGTGATACAGCCGTACAGTGAGTGTTGTCACACACACAAATTTTCTGGCAGTTTCTTCACTTTACCAGTGAAGATGCATTTCTGGTGCTGATGCACTGTTTTCCATTTAATTAACTGAAACACAGATCAATCTTAACCACCAGCTCTGTCCTTAACCACCTAATTAATCGCTGTGTTGACGATAGCCTTGTCCCTCTCTAGAAATCCCATCTCCCTAAACAGCCGCTGAGAATGCGCCACTATTTAGGTTTAATGACTATTTAAATATTTTGTATATATCCTGCATCTGTGTCTTATTGGTTGGTCCTCTGGCAGTTGGAAATCTGTGGGTTACAGGTTGTGTTCATTTGGGTTTTAGTCTTAGTGCCAACTAGAGATGTAGTTTGTCGTCACATCAGCAGAATTTCAACTTACAATCGCACATCTGAACTGCAATATGATCTCAATGAACACAGTTCTCAGATCAGTGTGTAAGGTATATTAAACTGCAGGTAACCCTATCAACAAAGCTTTCGCTTTCTGCTACATTACCAGTGAAATCTCACGATTTGCAAGATTATAAAGATTACACTCTGGACACCAAGCAAGAACTCTTAAACACTCAAGACACCTATTTCTTCTCCAGTGGAGCAGACAGCACAGTCCAAGAGCCCGAATTCATTGTGACAAACAAAGTGTTGGAAATTTATGAAGCTTAACGTCCCTCTTGTATAATAAGCATGAAGTATAGTGCCACCGCACAAATCAGACAGCCCTGTAAAAGATGTAGCTGTCTCTGGCATGTGTAGATAATACTGTGCTGCCTTTAAAGTCTTTAGGCAGACTGTAAGTTTGTGTGTTGTTGTTAATATGGGGCATAAAGTATCAAGGCCTCTTAATGTGACTTTTTACAACTTTCTTTTTTTTTTTTCTTTTAGATAGATAGATTATTATAATTATTAGACAATCATATATCAAAGGGAAAAGGGAGTGCTTGTTTAAATCTTTATACAAATAGGATGTTTGTTTGTAGTCACTTTAAGTCATGGTTAGGTTTGCATAATCAGTATGTATAGTTTTGTATGATCATGCCTGAATTAACATAATAAGAGACTTTAATCTGCCTCCATTGTTTCCAATGAAAAACTGTATGTCGAAGCAAATATTTTCTAGTGTCTGAGATTCTTGATTTATACACCTCCTAAAGATATCAGTTAACAAAAAATGTCTTAAAGCAACAAACTGGACCAGTAAATAATTGTTATTAGTTAGCTATATATGTCATACTACTAAATTGCTATGCTACAACCTATATTTGGCTTCTTGATGAGATTAGAGTAGTGGATGTCATTAGCCAGTAAGTTGTAATAGGACTGGATTTAGCGGAGGGGAAGATGTGTTTGTGTTCTTTCAGGTGACCTGTCTGCAAAAGGGGAGAATCATTTATTTAGTATAAAATCATAACATGTAGTACAGTGATTGTGCTAATTCTGCCAATAACTGCAGCAGTTACTGCAGTAACTACAGCAGCAGCAATGAGAGACCACCCGACCAGAAGGTGGTGAAGATAACAGAAGTACTTACCCAGCACTTCCTCTTGACCATCAGTCGTTGTCAGCTTTGGGTTATATTAGATTTCAGCATCTGGAGACTCCAAGTTATCAAGTTAATACAGAGACCACCAAAAATGTACTACTTCCAGAAAAACCACATCAACACCTTGGTGAAGCTTTACTACTGACGCTTGTAGCAGTAGTCCGTTCAATATCTC